TTCCTGTCAGCACCACCCTGCCGCCTGTACGAGCTGTGTTCTATTTTTCACTGCTAGCCCTCACTACAGCGCGTAGCGTAAGCTCTAGACAGTCAGGCCAATTCACGCACGCTACCGAGCAGCGTATGTAAACGCGCGTTGTTCGTTGCGGGAGCCTATCGCCACGTGACTTTCCTTATCGAGTCCTGTACTCTTTCCCCTGATCCTTCGACAAGCGACCCCAGACAAAACCAGAAAAATGTCCGCCTTAGATCCCAAAGTCGCCTCCCTCGTTGATCGTGCTGCGCGCGACGACGATTCAGACGAGGATGCGCTTATCGCGTCTCTGGAAGACGACGAGGAATTAGATGCTTTCCGCGAACAACGACTCCAGCAATTACATCACGAGTATGACAAGGCACGGCGGCTGAAAGAGAACGAGCATGGCAGATACACGGAGATCAAGGACGAAAAGGCGTTGATGGATATCACCACAAGCACGCAATTGTGTGTTGTTCACTTTTTCAAGCCCGACTTCAACCGGTGTCGTATCATGGACACACATCTCGAAGTAAGAACGAACCGTCCTACAAAGGACATTGTCTAACAACGATGCAGTCACTCGCGTTGTCTCATTATGAGGCCCGCTTCCTCAAGATCAATGTGGAGAACTGCCCTTTCCTAGTCACACGCCTAGGAGTCCAAGTTCTACCCTGTGTCATTGCCTTCATCGATGGTATCGGAGCTGACCGCATCATCGGATTTGAGGGACTCGGCCACACTGAGCAGAGCTTCACCACTCGCGATCTGGAGGCGCGTTTGATTCGTGCAAACGTTCTTGCGAGAAACAAGGTCAACGAAGAGGATGAGAGGCGGAGATTGCAGAACGCCAGGGCTCAGCAGCAAGAAGACGAGGATCTGGACTGGGACTGATAATCTCCACATGTCAGCTCGGCTGAAGTGTAAGCGACGCCGAATGCCTGGAAGAGGCATTGTGCTGAGACGACGGCGAGGCGCGTGGAAGCACGAAGAATGTATGTATGCTTGCAAAGCTACGATGATCTGGCAGTGCAGCAGGCGGGTCGTCAATTGCTTGGAATGCTCAACATAAAGACAAACTACTTGGAAGAGAAGGCTTGCGTTCAAAAGAACTGCGCATGTCCAGCTAGTACAAGAACCAAAACGCTGTTACACATTATTCGCTCAACCAATCAGACCGATAGCGCAACGAGCATCTGTTCGCTTTCTGGTGCGATGTGTTATTGATCTGTTGCGAAAAGGCGTGCTGTACTATGCCTCTCTTCTCTTTCCGACAAGAGTTGCAGCAGTTTTGAACGACGAGTCTACATGTAAAAACAGCACTACGAGTATGATTTCATCGCCAGCAGCTAGCTCTCCAGTCTCCATGTTTTGAGCGGTTGTGGTGAATGTCGCGCTCAGGCGGTTGACTAGCTTACCCCCGCTGGGTAATCCCGATGACGCCATTCGCCACGTGCTTTTGGGCATCTCAAATTATTTCCTTCATACCCAACGGCAAAGTCAACCTCCACAACACGTCTCTGTGATACCCTATTCGTGATATTTACAACCTAAAGATAACACGCACTGAAAAATGAAGGCATACTGGTTCGACAACCTCCCGGTAAGTGTTTGCTTCGCAGTCTCCACATCCACATGACCTAACCTCCACAGGGCGACCAACGCCAACCCCATGACTCCGGCCGCTCAGTCGACCCAGACTACCTAGAAAAGCTCGGTGTCGTCTATCACAGCGTACCAGAAGTCTCGGGCGTGGAACCAATTGCTACATCGCGCAACTACAAGAACCGGGATGAGATCATCGTCAGCCCAGAGAAGATGGGCGACATCTACGAAGAAAAGGTCAAGTCATTCTTCTCCGAGCACCTACACGAAGATGAGGAGATCCGGTACATCCTTGATGGCGCGGGCTACTTCGATGTCAGGAGCGAGGGCGATGACTGGGTGCGGATTTGGCTTGAGAAGGGTGATTTGATTATTTTGCCGCCGGGGATTTACCATCGGTTTACTACTGATGAGCAGAACGTAAGTGAATTAGGAAAGTGGAAGTTACGGGAGTAGAGTGTGCTAACATGCGTTTTCAGTACATTAAGGCTATGCGCCTGTTCAAGGAGGACCCGAAGTGGACGCCGCTGAACAGGGGAAAGGAGACGGATGAGAACCAGTACCGGAAGCAGTACCTGACAGAGTACTTGAAGGCTAAGCAGGGAGTTACAGCTTAGACTTCAGCCGTTTGGTAGCCCGCTCTTCATTCTCCGGTATTGACAAAATGATATCTAGACTTTCTTTTCTAGCCTGTTCGGCCATGTACTGGTGAGCGCTTACTTTTACCTCAAGTCTATTGAGCCCCCATGGTCTCTCTCATCTCGATTTTGATCAATTAGGCCATCGTGGGCCCCGGTAGTCTCTCTCACCTCGATATCGTTCAGCTACGCCATCGTGAGGATTTAAATCGCTCTCAAGTCTATTGAACCCCGCGAGTTCTCTCTCACTTCGATTCTGCCTCCATGTCTCTGTCCAATCATCGCGACAGCTTTCCGATCGATGACAATAGCATTGTTTCACCGACTGCTGCCGATTGTTACAGCGACGCGCGACCCCCAAAAGTGAAGGTGAAACCGAGTCAGGCCCGTCAATACAACTTGACTCTACAATGGTATTGTCTCAATGCGCTGGGCTCCCTGCTTGTGTGCACAGGTTCACTTGTACGCCTCTTCACCTTCTTATTGTTGTGCGCTCCGCAGATCCAGTCGTTCTTGGCCGCGCCATGTACACCACCTAGCTTAAACTGTACATCATCCAGCTTTTTCAACATTACCCAAGCCAACTGTCTGGCACATCGCAAGATACATACCCGCTACAGCACACGTCGTCTCGCCAAAATGCCAAAAACATCTAATGGTCAGCACCTCTACATCACAGGCATGAGAAATCTTCAAGAGCTAGTGTACGAATCTGAGGATGAGGATGAAAAACCCATCGTTCGGAAGACCTGTCCCAAGACCTCATTCCAAGACATCATGGCTCAGGCTAGGACCTCTCGCAATATGGTCACGGAGGACAGGAAGAGGTCAGACACAGGAAAAGAGAAGGAACCAGAAGGATCAGATGCACGAGCGGATACTCCAAGGTCACGGGTGCAGGCCAGTATGTCTGGTGCGATCGGGCTGAGTCGTGCTCAGGAGGCCCCACGAGAGAACGACCAGTACCACCCGGAGGACCCTCTCCTCGAGCGCCATACATCCACAATCAAGGATACCAACCATCTGCAATTCAAACGGGACCAATACTCTTCAGTACCATTGTGTCAACACTTGGAGTTATTCCTGGACTGGAACATGAACGACCCCGACAACCGAAAAGGCTCATGGATCCTCAACATCGAGAAATATGAAGACCCCTCACCTTGGGCAGAGCATCAACACTGCGCTGGCGTAGATGTTACTAAGATGGCTGATGCCTTGGCGATGAGGATAATCAAGAAATTCACTCGACTAGACAATGAGCGAGTGAGCCGAGACTTCGACCGCGGAATATCGTGCCGACGACCTCCGGCGAAGCAACGCTTGACACGCGAGCTATGCAACATGTACTCTCAGATCCACCGTGGCAAGGAGAGCAAGCTTGTCGATGAGAAAGAAGCGCTTCGCGAGAGCCTCATTGCGGCCGAGTGGCGCAAAGAGCTGGCTGGGGAATCGTTGCTGCGAGCTCAGAAGTCAGGCCAAAGCAGCGGCGCGGCAAAGTTTCTCAACAACGATGTATCAGAAGCTCGCACCAAGTCATCTTCAGCTTCAGTCTCAGCCTCATCTCCTTCTACAAAGAAGCGTAAGACACCGAAGCAGATTGCAGAGGAGAAGGTAGCTCGGAACCGGAAGCGCAAGGGTTTGAGCGAGATTGCTAGGATTCGCGCTGAGCCTGTCGACCGGTTCAAACCGACCACGGTAGATGAACGAAACGCCCGATTGGCTGGTGCTGCTCAGCTGGTCCGACATGAACGCGCGGCGGAGACAAAGAAGAGCCCATGTGTGACCAAGCCCTCGTCAAAGTCGAAAAAGTCCGCGGTCGCCATCAATCCTAATGAAGATGTCGAGACCATCTCTCGTCGCCGCGTGACGAAGAAGACCACACTTCCACCAGCCCCGATTTTCTCCGACTCTGAGAATGAACACAGTGAAGGAGAAATTGACACGAAGCGCAACGCGAACACAAAATCGAAATCTCAACATATGAGCAAACCAGAGCGCGCTCTCCTCAAAGGCATCGCGAAGGCAGAGCAAGAAGAACGCGAACGGTACGCCCAGGACGAATCCGAACCATTACCCACATCTGAAGAGAAAGAAGCAGCATTCCGGGCTGAAATTGAGGCAATTGGACTGGCGCAGCTCGCAGCTCAGAAGCGGAAGTTGAGTGAAGTAGAGGATGATACACCGTCTCATGTCTTGCCTTCTTCACGACTGATTAAGAAGGCGAAGAAGAAGAGCGTTGCGGAAGAAGTTGTATAGGCTAAGGGAGGCGAAGACGATGAACTGGATGATCTGTTTGAGGAGTAAGAAAGTACAGGCTGCTGGATACCGGGGGTTTATTCGAACTTGAGGCTACAAGTAAGATGGGATAGTTCGCGACGAGTCATCGTGTCGCTTTCAGGGTATCATGCCATGGTACGCCGTAGCTATCTGATAGTCATATGAAGCAGCAATTGACTCAACCAGACACTTTCGTATTCATTCCGCCCGTCTATACCAATTCCTTCTTCATGACGTGACATCAACATCTGTGTGTTTGGCTCAAGTAGAGCCTTGCTAGTGTCGCTATATTGTCCATGACGTTTCCTCAGCGTCTTGTGTAAGAACAATGACATTAAAGGTCCACAAGATCGCAGTTTGACTAGAGAAGCTTTGCATTTCGGGTGCAGAAGTGACACTATAGACTTAAACATCTCCTGGTTTCATTGACCACATCCACACCACAGTATCACCGCCCGCCTACGCCTTGTCCTATGTCAAATAAGCTTAAATACACGAAGCTCGCTCTGTTGGTCCTCGATATCATCCCAGCCAAGATGCATATATCTGCAATCATCATAGCCAAATCCCACTCTCTTGAACGTACCCTCGACCTTGAGAGTGACACCATCAACTTCCCAAGTACTCGGCCCTCCCTCATCTTCTGGGCCAGCTATTTTTTCCAGAAACAAGCCCTGGCAACGCAACATTGGATTGTCGCCGAACACTTGCGGGATGCCTACTAGAGGCGCGAAATGTGTGACGCGGGACAACACGGTTGTGTCCGTCGGGTCGTCTGGTATCATGTCGATGACTGCGGGGCCGATGGCATCAGAGGATGCATAGCGTTCGGGGATGAGGAAAGGGTTATACGAGCCCAACTCCATTTCATCTTCGTGACCTGATAACGGTGACCGGACCGGGAGGCAAAAGCCAAGGAGCGTCAACTCACACTTGCCCGCTCCAAATACCTCTGTCTCAGAGCTATCAGGCTCCTTGTGCTTCCAGTTCACGACTCGTGTGTAAGTTACGACTTCCGGATCAAAGATAAACTCATAGTACATGATGTTTCCTATAGTCGTCGTCCAGGACCAAGATGGCGCCATCTTCCTCAGTGTGGCAACTGCCTCTGAGTCGCCAGGCTGCTTCCGATGGGGACGAAGCCACAACAGCCACTTTTCTAGCTGCAATTTCCAGAGCCCGAAGAGGTAATCTTCCTCCGGGAACTTGTCAGGCATGGCTTGCTGTAACGCTCCCACTACGCCTTGTATTGCGGCTAAGCGATCAGTCCATTTGGTCAGTCTCTTTTCCGAGTACCGCTTTACAATCTCGGCCCATAGTTTCGAATGGTTGAAATGAGGTTGGTCGGTCGCGCGGGAGTCTTCTACACGGAGTAGTTGACCAAGAGTACGCACGTTGAAGAAATGGTCGTCTTCGCCGATATATCGAACGGCGTTTTCATTTGCCTCCTTCCGACACTCGCATCTCTCGTGCTGGCTACACTGCCAGGCTAGTTCAGATGGTGTAGCATATAGTATTCTGCGCGCTAGGAAGCTCTCTTGAAACACCCATGCGCGGGTAGCGAGGGGCGTGAGAAGTTCGTCGATGTCGACATCTTCTATATTGGGGCGCGACGAATGATGTGCTGGGTTGCTCCAGTATTGTTCCTCTCGCTCGCGAATGGAGAGTTGAACTGTACGAGACGTGCCGTCTGGCATGTGAAAGGGTACCTCAATACGTTTGAGGGGTGCATTCGCGGCAGGGCTGAGGGACAGAAATCCTTCCTGGACGCTGGATGCACTCTGTGCCGAGATGACCAGCTCGGCTCCTGGGTAGATGGACTTCATGCGTGGAATTTGGTCCGTCCAGTCCTGTATATCATCTTGTACTATGCATAGCGCATCAATCTGTTGTATGAGGTCAGCTTCTGGGATAGATACAGTTCATGTATTGGTTGCTTTACCCATAGGTATCGCAAGCCAAAAGCCTTGCACACGTGGATGGCATCGGCGAGGGTGCGAGGGAGTGTCGAAATATCGATGCCTTGCATATGGGTCTCGAGATTACTTTTCAGCGTCTTGAGGGAGCCGGTCGTGCCCCATGCGTAACTGAGACAAGCGTAACCTTCCTGATGTTGTGGTGATTCTGATACAATCGATGCGCTATCCACAAGGCGGATAGGATCAGTTGCGAGATCGAGGACACGACGTGGCCATTCACCCTTGTCTGGTGCACAAAGCGAATGATCAGCCTTGCATTGCTCGAACCAGCTGCGCGCTTGACTCAAACGATCTTCGAGATTGCTTGATAGCTCTCGGTACTTGTCGTTTTCACTATTGCGTATACCGAGCCATGGAATAGCAGAGTCTTCTCCAGCATCTGTTAGGCTGTTAGCATCATTTTCAAACACTCCCTCGTTCCTCATTCCTTTAAAGGTGACTTAGGCTGATAGAAAGAAGCCTGACTAGCTGTAAAGAACTTACCAACCGGAGTGTAGATCTGGTAATCATTCGGCCTGTTATCAACATACTTCCGGCCAAACAGCACCCCACCACCATATGATTCACCCTCCTGCTTGCAGGCCACATTTAAGACATTCTGGGGGTCGAAAAGGTGCCAATGGTCGACCGCCTCTTTGCGCCTAATATCGATAGTCGTGAATTCCGGCCGTCGAATATCGGTGACGGCATCAAGAGCCTGCAAGATGATTGAACATCCCTGACATTCACCAGCAGAAACAAGGAAGTCTGCCGTTGGCGTGCTGGTTTCCAAGCCGTTGGCGTAATGGTGGCATATGATGCATGATGGGGTTTCCTGGTCTCCTCCGTTTGTGGGAGGCTGTTTTGTGTCGTTTGTGTCGGATTCGACGCGGTATCGCTCATGAGGAGAAGCTTGGAGATGATCCGAGATCATACCCGCACGCGCCGGCGATGATGCAGCCCGAGATTCCTCTACCCCTCGGGCAAAAGCTTCTACCATGTGCTCTATGAGCTCAGACCAGTCTGACGTCATCGTCACTTGCCCAAGATGCTAACGAATCGAGTCGCCTGCGATAGCACCTGATCGATGCAGTAGTACCGACCTATTTTACAGAAGTCGGGAAAGATAGAACTCTTGTGTGTTTTAAGGCACGTCGCATTCGTATACGAATGCCTCAGCTGACTTGGCAATCCTTCCAAGGTCCTAAAGCATGCTTCAGCCGCACAGAATTAGGCAGGTTCGAACAGCTAAGGGCCGAAACCTCAACATACTTACCGCAAAGATCAGCCGATTCTAGGCTTCCGTATGGAGAACACAAAGTCCCAGGGCTTGCATCCATATGCATCCGCTTCAAGATTCACAGACAATGCAGGCGATTCACAAAGACAAATCCAAACTTATGAACATCGCATACGTAAATTGCACACCAAGACATATCCAAAAAGTTCATGATTCATAGGGATCACCTCTAAAGCCATCGAAACCCAACAATACACCCGCCTAAAACCTTCAAATGGTATACCCAAAACGCCAATCCCTATCCCCTACACCCCCTAGCAACCTCCACCACCACCACCGCCTCCTCCATCACCTCCTCCGCCTCCACCACCGCCGCCATCTCCACCGCTGCAGCCTCCACCATCTCCTCCACTAAAGAAGCCACCTCCGCCTCCGTATCCTGCTGTGTATGCGTATGCGCCTCCCGTGTCGCTACCACCGCCGTAATGCCGCTTGTTGCGCTTCGAGACCTTTGTTTGCCGCATCGGGGGCGGGTATTCAGAGGGTGATTTGGACATTCCGCAGCCCATTTTGGCGGGTGTTGGTTTGTGTTGTCGGTGTGAAGGTTTGTGGGTTGCGAGATGTGGATGTGTGATCGTATGACTTTGTCAAGTTTGGTCTTAGGTAATGTTGATATCCAAAGGTATGTGAGTTTGAGATGAGTGAAGTACGAAGTTGCGAATGAGTTCTCTGTCAGAGAAGATAGCGTGGATGTGTCGAGAGTTGGTTCGTGATGATGATATGCCCTCATCCTCCCACGGAACCCTCGACCCTATATACTCACCCACGGTACTCATCATGCTCACCCTACCACACTACCAGCCACAAAATCTGCCTTACCCGTACACAGCACTGTCATCAGGCCCCCCGAACACAGCAACGACAGCACCCACTACCGTCACAACACCTACCCTCATTCCGTTCTAACCAAGCGAGACATCCAGTCGCATCCTTAAACGAACAACACTAATCCCACAAACGTGACCGCCCCAGCCCCAACCCATCAGCAACCAGGCGTCCAGCGTCCTACCGCTACCCAATCTAGTTCGTCGTGTTCGTTTACTCGGATAAGGCATCCCCCACCTGGGGCAACCCACCTTCTGGATCAACAAAACGACTAACGCGGAACGGGAAGTAATCGAGCGCATACATACTGCGCACAGGTTCTCGCAATGCCACAAATGTGCACATCATTTACCGCATGAGCTTCGCAGGGCTGAGTCCACAGTAGGAGTAGGTGGAGGGAAGGACGCTAGAAGAGAGGCTGTGCCCCCGTTCTGCCGATCACGTGGAGCTTGCAACCTTCGATGCAAAGCCTACGTCGGCCCGAAATCAGTGGTTCGGTGTCCTGCATCGGGTTTAGATCAATCGTTGATGGAAGCAGCGAAGAACATAATTATGGAGTTAGCATGCGCATCTGGAAAGCTGTCAGGCAGAGTCAGATAGCGAGCTGTGGCTGAGTATTCTTGCCGATCGATCGCTGGTTCGAGGGGTGAATTTGGTAAACTTGTGAGGTAGTACGCATACTGTGGGGTCCTAATGAAGGGACCTGCGTAGTGATGTACAATGCGATGCTGCCTGCGATGGAGGTAGAGATAGCAATTCGCCTGCGATACGTGTATTGCGCCGAAATCAGATAAGGCGTCCCGATTTACCTCAGTCTTCACCGTACTCGACCATCGTCACTACCACCTCACAGCCTCCCATCTCACATGTGACGAAAACCCGCATATTGAACTTTCAAAATTATGTCATTGGAGTATATAGCGCCGTGTCGATCGATAACATTCACAGAGACCCGAATATATAGAAGGAAAAGGAGGTGGAAGGGAAAAAGATGCTAGAAGCATACACACAAGAAAGATGGGGTCTCCAAACTCCCGGCCGAACCGCCCCGAGAAAGAAAGGTCTCAAGAAAGCGCCCGTGGTTTCCGAACCGTTCAGCCAATCTAGTCGTCGTAAATTTTTCTTTTTCGCGGGGGAGGAAAAGGCGTAAAAAAGTCTTGATCAAAGAAGAGGCTGCAACTCCCCATTCTAACACGTCTGCCGTGAAATCTCGATCCAGAAATGCGAAAAAGCGTGGAAGTAGCCAAACAAGTGGAAACCTCTCGTATCCGCCCAAGACGCTCGTTGTACGACGTAATCAAGTCTGCCCCAAGCACGCGCGTGTGACTCCAACGATCTCGTTTCGCGTCTCACTTTCCGCCCTGCTTCTTCGCCTTGAGCGCAAGATGCGAGTAGACCCATCCACCGCCAAGCGCGAGAAGTACACCGAACCATTCCCTTCCGCTCAATATCTTGCCCTCGCTGTACCACCCTATACTCAGGATCATGATGGTCTTGAGGTGGCTGACAATGTTGAATGTGAGGGCGCTGGTGCGACCAATGATCAAGAACTGACTCAAGTTGTACATCGAGGCCATGATGCCGGAGGCGCATACGCTCCAGAGGATGTCGGTGGGTACAGTTGATAGGTTCGGAATGGTGTCGAAGAAGGGAACGAAGGGGATGAGGAGGCAGACGGAGATTGGCGCTTGGTTGAGCAGGAGTTGGGGTGGCGAGACGGCGAAGTCTTCGATCTTCTTGCCGATCCAGATCTGGTACAGAGCGGTACTGCAGAATGCCAGGGTCGCGACAATGACACCGAATAGCTGGGTCTTGGCCGCTTCGTTGATAGTGAAGGAGACGCCAATGCATGTAGCGAGAATAGCAGCCAGCATGTATCGTGTAACCTGCTTTCGGAAGAGGACGAAGTTGATGAGGACGACGGTCGGCGTAGTCATGACTTTGGAGAGCTGGTAGAAGCCGATCGAGTTGAAGGTCAAGCTAAGGTTGCCAAGCACAACGTATCCGGCGAAGAAGCCGCAGACGGGCAGCATGTTCCAGACATTCAACCGTACGGCCTTGAAGGCATGGAAGGGTCGGAGGGTCGAGATGAAGAGGACGAGACCGGTGGCTGTGAAATGCCACATGACGACCATGAGCTGGCATCCTTTGAGCTGCTTGTCGCTGAACACTCTATCCGACTGTCAGCGGGTCCCCCACTAGCTCTACTGCATGTTGCATACCGCTTGCTCAGGAAGATCAAGCCCAGTGTTGATAGCGTATTCAGCGCAATCCAAAAACACGTTATCAGCTTCTCCTTGAGCGGTACTGGCGTAGGCTCGGCTACGGGCTTCTCGAAAGTGGGCAGCTCCTCGAGCTCGTGGGACTCTCGGGGGTCAACATTGTCGACGAGGCCCTCGATTGAAGGGCGCTTCTCAACTGCGTGTTCCGTTAGTCCTGGTGTGTCTTATTTCTGACAAGTGGTATGCCAACGCCCATGTGTCAAGGGTCTAGGCGGTGTCCGGGGTTCGACGTACCCATGGTATGTGATATTGAGTTGAGAATGTAGCGAGCGACGGTGGAGGGCTCGTGTGGGCTATGCCTTCATGCCAGTGCCAGAGGGAAGGCGCGAGCTGGCAATGCGAGGGAAGGCGTAGGACGAGGCAGGCGCGGGCTGACTTGATTGTCGCACGGTAGCGGGTGGGCCGGGGAGGGTTGCGGCGGTGCAGCAGATCGTCCGGTGTGGCTTCAGACGCGGACGATGCAGTTGCAGCGACCAGAGACAACAACAGAGAGGCAAAAGAGGACGAGGCGGTTCGGGGAGGGCTGCCGGAGAAAAGAGACGAGGCGAGGCGGGGAGGGCCAAGGGGGTACACGACAAAAGGCCCAAGTAAGATGCTATCCGAAAGGGATCCTCAGACGCCAAGGCGACTGCTGAAGGGGGCGAAGACGATGCAGGGTTCGTTGTTCAGGCACGTGCCCGTAAGCCACAAGCCTCATCTCCACGGCCAATCAATCCCACCTTAGCGCCACGCTGTCCAGCCAAATCTACGAGGTTAATTTTAGGCCTCGATGCGGTAGCGCTACTGCTTTTGGTTCCGTCCACTGTCTATACGGGCGCTGCAGCATCGTGAAGAGCTTCAATCTCCTCGAACTCGCAGTGTGATATACAGTGGTGATCAGCTTGGCACTCTCCCTTACCCACTTCCCAAGACACATTGGTCGTTTGGGCGTTGCTTCTGGAGTGCCGACACATCCGGCTCCGCTCCGCCCATCTCGGGCAGAATATCTCCCTCGTAGCACCTGTGTTGCTCCGATTACGAATCTTGGTGCCCTAACACGGCGGACGCAGCATTTGGTGTCCCTTCCGGATCCGCTGGGTGGTGCCACCTACGACTACCCGTACCGGTAATCTGCATGTTTGCGCGTCCTGATGCATAGTCGCAACTCTGCAACTTGTTGGCATTGTGAAGGTTTTGGGGGTATGCTTGTACGGTTGCCAGCGGAGATTTCGTTGCGGACTCCAAGATTTAGTTGCACCGAGCGCCGAATCTTATGTCAGTTTGGTCTTCTCATAGACTCAATTCAGATAAGGAAGGTACGATCATGATACAGTCCACCAATCCTGTGCGACGTGGAAGTAACGTGTTCTCTTGAATTTCTAACTCCTAGTTCTATGCAGAAGGCGTAATTAACAGCCTTCAAGTGATCGACCCTAGCGCATAGAGAAAGACGGATAATGTACACTCGCAAGAACCCACACCGTACAAAGAAAATCAACATGATCAGCATCCCATCGGCAGTTCCATTGACTACCGCATCCGCATCGAATTATAGACATGTAATGTGTTATGTCGTCGTGGTGTTACAGAAAATTATACCTCTCCATCAGCCACAGCAAGACGCTGCTTGGCTGTCTTTGCCTTCTTGCTCAGTCCGCCCTTCTTGCGCTTGCCGCCGGCGGGGGCTTCAGTAGGTGGGATAGGTGTGGCTGCACCACTTGCCTTTGCGCTCTCGTCAAAGTGTCCTTCGCCTGGGAATGGTCAGTACAAACATTGTTCAGCATGAAGCGATCCACTCACCCTCGTGGTACATGTCGTCGAGGTTGGCCTCCGCCCGTTGCTTCTTCTTGCCACGCTTCTTGCCCGGTGGAGCATTCTTCTCTTGCTCCGCCAGCTCCGCCTCCTTCTTTTCGATCTCCGCGGCCTGGTCATCATCGACAAGCCACATGGCCATGTCTTTGGTCCTGTTCTCCCTGGATCGGGTGTTGAAGTCGACTCCAGCGCCGCCACCTCCGGAAATGACGACACGCTGCACTTCTTCCTTCTGAAGCGCACGCTTGCGGATACGTTCTTCGATAGTACCGCGCGTGATAAGCCTGTAAACAGTGACCTGTCGTGTTTGTCCGAGACGATGGGCACGGTCCATAGCTTGCGAATCGATGGTGGGATTCCAATCCGAGTCGTAGAAGATGACCGTGTCAGCGGATGTAAGGTTGATACCGAGACCACCTGCACGAGTTGACAGGAGGAAGACGAAGATGGACCGGTCGCTCTGGAAGTCGGCGACTGTATCACGACGATCTTCGAGCTTGGTCGAACCATCAAGACGGCAGTACTTGTAGTTCCTGTAAGTGAGGTATTCTTCCATCAGGTCCATCATCCTCGTCATCTGGAAGTACAGCAGCACGCGATGATCGTTTGCT